TGTTTATAGCACAAGTAAATTACACCTAGTATAATTCAAGTATTCAGGGAGGAGTACATACCCCATCAACAAGGGTGTTAAAGATGTGTTCTTTGGGATTTTTTCTCTGTGGAAATCGGAATTGTGGAGCCTCAAAAACAGAATTGTTTCTGTCTATCATGTAGATTTCTCCTTCTTTTAATATAAGCAGCATATACCTGAAATATCAGTTGAACAATTATTTTGCACACTCAATATGATTAACTACCGATGCATCACTATCATCATTTTACCTGGTGCCATCTGCCTTCCAGCTTACTCGGTAATCTTTCTCTTGTAGAAATAGAAGGTTTTTAACATCCATTGATACTGGTTGAGAACCAGGGAAACCTGACCTAATTTTACAAGATACAAATTGCAGATTGTAATTAAYAGATAAATGGTTGGAAAACTWACAATATTTTTTAGCAGTTCCAATCMCATTTCCCATCCAATTTCTAATTGCCATTTYAAAGTATTCAAAGATTRCATGACTGTTATTCTCCATTTCATTTCCATTGAGAATCSCATTTTCCAGTWTAAAAAACACWACAATCYCAGTTCCCATATTATCCCTTCATGAATCAGCTCAATGCAGAAGTTTWTTAAAAGTTTCATGCAGTCAAAAGCTTGGAAGCTGGGAGGCTACCTAATAATGTTCTCTATTTTCAAACTTATAACACTACGTGATCTATCACTCATCAAAATGATTATGAAAATCTTATCAAACAYAGGGATTTGGAGTGTTGTCATGTTTAAGCTTACTTGTCCCAATTACACATTTCAGCACATATTTCTTGGATTTCTTCACATTTTGGTGARGGTACTAGCAGTACGCCATGAACRCCATCAACAAACTTTGCATCCTGGAAAATATTTATGTTGATACATACCATTATGATATCAAAAACTTTTGGAAAATGAAAATGAATTAAAAAGAGAAAATGAATAAAGGGAGATGAAAACTATGAAAAAAAAGAAGAGTAGGAGAAATAAAGAAAGAGCGAAAGATAGAAAGAAAAGGCAATAAAGAAAACACGAGGAAAAATGATATAATTCTGCAATAAAATGAAGAGTCGAACATACTTTTGGTGCAGTGTTTTTCCGTCTCTTCTTTCGTCTTTGATTTTGATCACTAGAACATCCTTCATCGTCATCATCTTGATCACTCAATTCTTCATCCTCGTTACACCAATCAGGTCGCTCYGGYGCATGCAATATATCACYCTCGTCACCATATCTCTTTACTAATTCATCTARATACTCTTGCTTATAAATACCAGGTGATCGGCACTGCAATAAGGTTTAGTATATAGCTTTTAACTAAATTAATGTGTCCAGCTGCGTAACCCTAGCATTTCATAGAGGATTTTTGTGTTTTTGATTATGGGAGGAATCATAGTTTGAGAAACTTGAGAAAGGAAGATGTAAAACCTACCTTATTAAATACTTCTACAGCTGCTTCAAGACTGAAATGATACATTCAAATGTTCAAATAAACAACTGAGAATACACCAAAAACAACTGATTATTCAAGCCATGTAATATTCATTTACCTCCAGTCCACTCTCTCTATTAAATAACAAATAATAAGAAAACCAGTCCTGTTAAATCCATGAGTGCAGTGAATGCCTGAAATAAAGGAATTTAGTATCATAGGAACTTGTAATCTTAAAACAATGACTTTTGATGCATACCTATTAAATCTCCTGGATTTGACTTAAAATAACGATCACAAATGTTTATAAAAAGYTGAGTYTGCTCTGGTGAGGGGGTCTCACCATGCCTGTGAAGAAATAAAACAAGAAAATAAAATGAGAAGTGAAAAAATGAGAATAATTTAAAAAAAAAGAATACAAAAATGCTTAAATAAATGACTGAATAGAATAAATGAACAAGTGACTGAATGAGCAAATGGATGGATGAACAAGTGACTGAATGAGCAAATGGATGGATGAACAGTTAAATGGATGAACAAATGAATGAATTTTAAAATATGTATGAAAAAGTGAAATGACTTTCAGTGCTCACCCTCTGCAAGGTAGTTTTGTGTGTTTGATGCCTGCTTTTTCAACTTCATTTTTGTCRTAGAATCTATTAGTGTTGGTGAGGTCGATAATCAATCCTAATTTCACCTGGAAAAGAAATTGATTAGAAATTACAACACAAACTTCCACATATACCTTCAATGCAATTTGATTCTCTTGTAGCAGTAGCATAGTTTACATWTAAGGTAGCCTTTGTACTTACCCTAAACGATTGTAAATAAGCGAAAAGCATTGGAAGCTGAAATCGATTTTCTTCTGGGATTTGTTCATCATATCGTGGACCTAGGGGAGTTTTGAAAGCCAAAAACCGATCTACAAGATACAATAAAAAGAGATTTTATCAAGCCACTCAATTATAATAAAAGGATTTTAACACACTTCTCTATGAAGTTATAAAGAGAGCAAACAATTCAAAACTGTTTTCGTTTTGAAAGTTTTTCAGGCGCTTTTTTGTGTTAACTTCTACAACCGATTTTACTTTTAACACAAAATTATAATTGTATGCAATCAAAGAAAATCCGAAGCTGACAACTGCATTAACCTTCTATTGCATTTACACAATTAAGCTAGAATTGGATTTGAGTAAAAATTTAATTGTGACAGTACAAACATAAACAAGTCAATAGTTTGTRAATTRTTTTCTCGTTATTCTAATCACCTGCGATAAGTTGGCCCTTTCGCGGACAATTAAGCCATCTTGGAGGAATAGCCATGTTATATAAGCAGACGCTAACAAGTTTAGTGCGTAAAGATAACCGCAAAACAATAACAATTCATATTGTTCTCGCTTCGTTCACTTGCAGCCGCCATCTTGAATGGAAGCAGGAGACTGTGAAGCTAGTACCAAGCTTTTGCTCCATTTAGTCCACAGTAAGCCCAATGTAACTTTTTTAATGAGCGAACAAAGGGGTCAACAAAATCTCTGAAAAGTTAGCAAATGTTTATCAACATTATGGTTCATCCTTTTTAATCTTTCCTTTATCTCAAAACGTTTAAAATTATATGCATTTTTTCCCTTTTGATGATGTTGGTTGTGCATTTTGAATCTTTCGAAATTCCCCACTATCCCTACTCCCCAGGGGATTGTTTGTACCCAAAGGTGTCAAATTTCMAGAAGGTTGGAATAATGGCGAACTTCTACTTCAAGAGCTTAAAGTTTTTGCTTCAATCATTGATTTTAAGTCTGTTTTTCAACGGTGAGTGGGCTTTTTAGTATTTAAACACAAAAGAGGAACAATTTTGCTTTATTTTGTGTTTTTAAAACAATATTAAGATTGTCAAATCAAGTATTTTGCTTAAGATTATTATAATCAATTTATTAATTAATCGTATGAGGAAGTAGCTGATCCCATTAAAGAGTGCTCAATACACAAAAAGTGTAGAGCTAGTTATATATATGATATCAAAGAGGATATCAATTTATTAATTATAAATATGCTAAATGTTATTATGATTTGTACAGTCAATAGCAGTGAATACAAGCAATGGAGGCCCAACACCAACTGGAATAATCCCAACAACTGGGAAACTGGAAAAGTACCATGTTCACGTCAAGATGTTCAACTGATTAGCTTACAACCTCTTGTTGTTGCAGTATCTGGACAAATRCCACTTCACAGCCTGGTAGGGAGATATCCCTAGGGAGTTTTACACAAACTTGGAGAAGTTCCCCCCTACTCACCCCTGATGATCAATATTGTTAATGATCTTTTCCCATTTCTTATTTTTTTCAGAGTTTACCAAGAAATGGTGARCTACTTATGAATAATGATGCTGAGCTGGTCTTTCACAATGATCAAGAAAACCCAACTGATCAGTGCTCTGGTAATGATATTTTAGGAATCTAGCTAACAATTTTACATTTTTCCATTGTATTTACTTCTCCTTCATTCATCTCATCCTAAAATCACATTTTCCAAGTTTAAGATTTATTTATTTTGAAGTCTCGCAAGTGCACTAAACAAAAATGGAAATATTGAAGAAAGTGATATATGGTTATTCTGTAGAAACTGGAAACATMAAGTTTGGGGCCACCTCACCAAAGAACTGGTTTAATCCTGTGAACTGGGAGGAAGTGGATAGGAATGGGRACCCTGTGGTAGAGCAGAGCTATGGCTTGCTGCATTTAAACCAAATACCTTGTGTATATGACCAAGTCATTTTTAAAGAGGTAGTTATTATGGGATRGATGTATATTGGACAGTTGTTAACTGTTGTTATGTTTTGGTTCGGCTACTTACATACTAATGGACTTGGCTGTCTAGATTGACTTGTGATCAAATGAAAGGATGCATTGTTCATGAGTAAATGAATGGATAAAAGAACAAATGAAGTGATGGATGGAAAAATGTTTTCATGATTGGATAGGTGATAGATGGGTGTTAGACAAATGTATATGAATGAATAAGTTGTTGAATGGATGGAGTTTAAATGAATGAAAAAATGGAAAAKTTAGTAAATGAATTGATGAATATTTGAAGAATATTAGAAACATGGATTGATAAGATTTGTTTGGCTGGAAATTCCTGAGCAATTTTAAAATTGACAAATAAAATGATTTTTGGACATTATAAAATCAATTAACACATACATTTTTTTATGCTCCAAATCAGAAAAGCTCTTTTATGGTTAAAAGTGACCAGCCAGTAACTGTTGCATCAGTACTCATGAATGGACAGGTAAAAGCCTGGAATTGTATTCTATTAATAAATTAATTACGAATTAATTAAATAATATTCTCTGATAACTGTTAATAACATTCTTTTATATATGACAATCTAATATTCTTTGAGAATAATTAGGACCAATAATTATTTGATATTGTTAATATATCAGGTATATCAACAAAAGTCTTTCCAGGACTATCTTGAGACCACTACAGGAAAGATTGAGTTTAATTTCAACAAGAACATGATCAAACTAACTGGAGAAACTTGCACTGATCCTAAAGGATGTTATTGTAATAATTTACAAGTGAGTATTAGTCTTTTGAATATGTTTTTTTAATAATTTAGTTGTAGCCAGTATTCAGCAAATCTTTATTAGCAAGCTGCGTATAGATAAACTATGATTTATGCTTGAAAAATGYGAATCTTCTTCCTGTCTAAACACAATTTTGAGTGACAAACAKGGTCAATGAAACTATAATATACTCATTTCAAAGGTAAAAAAGACAGTTTGTAGCTTTGTAAAGTGTGAATCAACGCACTGCAAGACACCTCTTTTSCCTGKTGAATCATGCTGCAAGTATTGTGGTACGTAAATTATTGAACATGTATCTCAACACSTCATTATCATAAAGTCTTTTGACTTCCTCATATTTCCAGGAGCTATACTAAAGGTTGAGCCATTGTTAAAGTTCAACTTGATGAATTTCAAAAAACAAGTTCAAARTTTATCTGAGAATGTACGTAGCAATCCTTTCTTTCCTTTTCTTAGCTTTAGTTATTATGTATTATTCACCATTAATTTCCTTATGGCATCCATTTCGTTTTATACAGAGGAGTCGTGATTTRCARGTCAAGTTTTCAATTTCAAGAACTAAGGATGGTTTAGTGCAAGTGGTGTTTGCAGATTCTGGAAATGGTAAGACTGGTCAGYTTTAAAGATGATATTGGTACAGCGTATAAACAATCCAGGAACAATCCAGGAACAATCAATATGGAGGAGAATCTACAAGATTCATGGGAGAGACTCCTAGATCTTACTTATTTCAATGATATGATTGACAGATTAGATTTAGCATTTTGCCTGTTAATAGTTGATATAATGCCAATATATCAACTAGACAGCTTCACCTACATAACTGTTTCCACTTACAATATTGTAGGTAAGAAGGCTCAAAAATTTGCTGAAAAAGTAATTGAGCACATATCAGGTATTTAATCATTTATTAATATAATTTATCATTTGAGTTTTTGTCTTAGGAAATAATTCAAATTCACATTCACATTCACATTCACATTCAAATTCACATTCAAATTCACATTCACATTCACATTCACATTCAAATTCAAATTCAAATTCACATTCAAATTCAAATTCAAATTCAAATTCAAATTCA